TTAAAATTTTGCCAACATATTTTCCCAATGTTAACAACTTTAATATTATTGCCACAACATTTTGGATTTCCTCCACCAGTGTCCCTTTTTTTCGTTGTACACTTTTGACATCTAATTTTAGGAGTTGTCGACTTTCTTACCTATTTATGGTGATTTACAATTTCAGCACATATCTTTTAAAGTTTGCCGATTTTTTCCATATTACCCCAAAAGCGGCATAGCCGCGGGTTCTTTACTAGTTTATATGAATCCTATGTTAAGAGACTATACATACCTTTAACCACCCTCAATTTTTTGTAATTGAGATATTCTTTTTTTAAAACCCATTAAAATTCTTTAAATCCTACAAATCATGAATTTTATAGCAGATAGATTTAAATGAAAAGAACACAATAAGACAGATGAAAAAACTGACTCTGTCTCATGGAGGTGATAGCGATGGACACGGTGAACTGTAAAATTCTCTATAGCTGGTATCCAAGTACACCCATGACCTGGAAAGAAAAGTAAATGAACACATCAGGTTCCATAATATACAACAAAAATTACAGAGGCTATTAAGAAACTATTTAAAAGTAGCAAGGAATGGCAGATTCCAAATCAGATGTAGAATATTGGGAGAAAATCAAGAAAAATATATCTTTCTGTTTGCTCGAAAAGTAGGGACATTAAGCAAAAATATTTAGAGATTTGTAATAAATGAAAGATTAATACCTTCAATCAAGTATATTAGTGGTTTGGATAAGATTAAAATCGATTGACACATCTAGAGATCGACTGATTCGACGATACCCGGCGATAGGCAATAAAGGTGGAAGCAGCGATCGCTCAAGCTGAAATAGTTGAAAGTATAAAGTAATCTGATAGGAAATGAAGAGGAGAAAGAAAGGAAGTTAAGAACAGTGATACCTAATTGGAAGGTCATGTCGGTGATCCGAACAGTTTTAGCCGGACCCAAATAATTGGCATCCCATGAAGACGACGATTTTTTACAGAGAAACAGTGACGAAAATGGTGAGGCTGAAGGGCACCTGCAGATTCAAGAAGGACACCTGGGTTCAAGATAGCAGAACAACGAATCAGTTTACCAAGGGTTTATAAATAAAATTGTTGAGAAGAAGTCGAGAGAAAGTCGATTTGTAGATTTGGTATAACGATCAGAGCTCTTTGAAGAACTTCAAACCTTTCTATTAAGTTTGAGCAGTTGTTTCATCGTCTAAGAAAACGAAAGCAGAAAAAAGTTGCAGACATACGAACCTGTAACCATGGGGTACGAAGGTCACCGGGCCAAGGCTTCACATGGGAGTCGACGGCATACGGTTACCCAGGTTCCTCTTCAAAAGCCCTAAGACAGAACACGTATCAACCGGAGACGATTGAGGGGTCACCTGGCTTATGGTGGTGGTCGTGTGCCGATTGAGGGGTCAATCGGAGACGATCGAGGGGGTCACCGTTCATATAAAGGAGGAAGGCGAAAATAATCGATCCGATAAAGAAGAAGGTGAAAGAAAGATTAGTGGATAAAGCCCCTTACATCGATGGGGGTGGGGCGATCGTTAAGCTGACACGTATCCAATGCAGAAAAGAGTGGTGAAAGAGAAGACAACACGTTTGCTGAATGAACAGTGACGTTGACGATCCATGGAATGAACATTAAAAACTGTTATTCTTGCAAGGACCAAATTACCATTTCAATGAATAGATGGAACAATTCCGATTTACAGCAAATGAAAGGGACCAACTTTGTCAATCCCTTAGCCACTTTACTGTAGCTAAGGGTGGACAATTTTAATATATACTAGAAAAGATTCCTCGGTGTTGCCGGGGTCGGAAGGTATTTCTTTATAAAGTAAAGTAGCATGTTGGTTGCTTTTTGTCCGTTAATGTGAGGGTAATTTGGTCTTTTCAGGTA